ATTTCCCCTATTTTAGCTATTAAAAATTCCAGTTGAGCTTTTACTTCTGTGCTTTTTCTTGACTCTAATCCAAGTCTCCCCTAGGAAGCAGATGACAGTATGAAAGCAGATGACAGTATAAAATCTCGAAAATGAAGCTAGCAAGGAAGGAATTTCCCCCAAGGGTCCCTTGGGTTTCAGCCCACTCAGAAGCACTTGAGAAAGGATTCTACATCCTAGACATTTCCAGATAAGGTATGCTCCATCTCCCCGACATATCTCCTGTGTTCACAACCCTGCCTGAAATTAGAACTTCAGTATGGATCTAGGGTGAGCTGTCTTCCAGGAGAGCGAAGACTTTAGCCTGTTTCCTTTTTTGCCAAACTTATCTCTTGCTACTTCCCTAAAGTAACTATTTTTTTTCTCGATCAATCCAGTCTACTTAATTTTCTTCCAAACTTTCTGTAATCCATACATTCAAGTCAATATGGAGTACCTAATATGTGTTATCTGTTAGTGTGCCTATATTTATAATTTTTCATAGCAGGAAAAAAATGGTAAGGATTCTCAAACACTTTTGGAATTTGAGGGGGAACAATCCTTAACGTTTGTTAATAATTAACACATACATTAAAATCTAAATTGCATTACAAGTGAAAAAAAGATTCCTTAATTAATTAAAAAGTATATTACAGCATTGCCTCTCCCTGAGGTGGTGAGAAGTTGCAGCAGACAATTTTTGAGCACTTGCTGGCTACTGTGGGGATGGATCCCAGAGTGATTTCATTGATTTCTTATAAACTGTGAGGTTTTCCCCATTTAACAGGGGAAGAAATTAAGGAAAAGGGACATTAAGTGACTTGTTTAAGGTCACATATAAGATGTAACAGAGTTAGGATTTGAACCTACACTGTTTATTTCTAGAGACTAAGCTGATTCTATTAATTATAAGATTAATAGCCCTATGAGTAAAACTTAAAGAGCTTTCTTTAAAAAGAAAATGTGACTTTTAATTTGAGATTTTGTCTCTCGATTTACTTAAAGTATACCTGTTGTGAGGAATGATGTACATCTCTGTTGCCTCTTACCTTCTTGACCTTGAACAGCTTACATATTTATCTATGCCTCTATTTCTTCCTTTGTAAAAAGAGGATTAAAAACATCAATGTAGAGATTAAACCTGATAATATTTGTAACATTTTATATCTGTACAAAATGCTAGTTGCCATACTAGCTTCGTTTTATGTTCTTGGTTACCAAGAATTTGACCCAGTTTTTAAATATCCTATAAATTCATAGCAAAATATTAAGAGAGATGACTGTAGTAGGAGAGGGCACAGGCATGATGAGCTTGCTGTATCCTCAGGCATTTTCTTTTTTGAGCCACAGTGATTTCAAAGTGGAATGTGTATTTCTGTATCAGAAGCTATAGGGCTGACCTTGAGGGAAGTCAAGATATTTAGTTAAAGTAATATTATACTATAATCCTATTTCCATTGAATTTTTAGTAAATGGGACATTTGTACATATCTTGTGAAACTTCTTAAGAATGATTATTTTTTAAACTTTAAATAAATCTAAAAATGTATTTGAAAGATATTATAACCACATTGAAAATATTACATTTATTTAACCTCTCAAGTTTATATATTTTCTTAAAAAATCAGTAATTTTTCTTATATTATGATGATATATACGTGTGTGTATGTGTTTTTTTTTTTTACCCTAAATCCAAATTTATTTTGTTGATTGTTCCTTTCCGTTTGGTCATTTTATTGAGTGTTATTATGTTGTTTGATATGGATTAGAGCAGGAGTTATAGCTGAAGGATATCTGTAAGAGATATAGTCATTTTCTCATAGGACTTAGAGAGGATGAGGAATTTGCATACTAGAATCTCATTAGATCTGTAGATCTCTCTCTCTTTTTTTTTTGCCGAGGTCAGTATTTGAAGTATTTTGAAACAGTTGCCAAGGTTTGTTAGGGAGACTTCATAGAAAAATCTGGAACTTTTTTCCATTCTTGAATAATTATTTGATTGGGCAAAGCACGCTTGGTAACAATAGGCTGTAGTATTGAACACGTGCGGTCACCTTTCGATGGGGTTTGTGGTCTCCATCTCACCAGAGTTCCTTCTGCATTGTTTTCCATACTCGAAGGGCAACCTCACTAGTCATTCTTTTATCAGATTTGCACTTCTGTGGGGCCAGCTCCTCATCTTTATTGTACCTGCCTGGCTCCTGTGGGTGATTTAGTTTGTGTCCCCTGGAGTAAGGACTGTTAATGAGACTGGGGTTATGTCATTTTATTAAAAGTTAATTTGTTTCAAATAATAGATTAAATGTAATGTGCATTTTTATAAAACCATGGGCATGTGCGCTCACATGCGGGCATGTGTAATTGCTTGTGTTAGGTATGTATGTATATAATACATAAGTATACATATATGAAATACTCCAGAAATACCTACAACTCCCGCTGCACTCCGCTGATCAGATGCTGTGGCTTCTCTCTCCTTGTCGAAGCAAATGTGGTGAGTGTGGTGGTGCTAGGGAGGACTGAGGCCCCTGCCCGCCCCAGGCCGTTGGAATCCAACCCCCAGTGCAGAGGAAGAGGCCCTGTGAAGATAGATTTACGTGCCGTCCATCACTATGTCCATATTTTCTTTATACACATAGATGCTCTGTGGCAGACTGCGCTGAAGCTTCTTTCCCTGAGCGGTCTATGTTGCGCATCTTTCCGTATCAGCACATTTCCCTCTCCCTCATTCTTCCTAGCAAACCTTGTGTAATTTGTGGTCTGAATGTTCCACAGTTTATTCAGCCAGTCTCCGATTGTTGAACAGGTAGATTATTTCCCGTCGTTTGGTATGATAAATAATGCCGTAATGATCATCCTTGTACACATAGATTTTCTTCCATCTCCCTTTCACTCATATCTTGTTTTTTATAAATAAAATTTTTACTTTGTGCCTTGCGATTCTTTTTTCGTTATCACATTCACGCAGTTGCACAATTATTAGCCGTGGCTCTGTGTTTAAGGACTCAGGGCTCAGCTACACTGCTGCAATGACTGTGCATTTCTCTGTGTGTGTGTGTTTAATCGTTTAATTGCCGAGAGTTTTATGGAAAGTAGTTTTTTTTCCTTCAAGAATGGTTCATTAGTGTCCTAGACTTAAAATTATTTTTAAATTTGATAAAGAATTCCTTAGGTTTGAGTGGGAACTTATATAATAATCCTTAGATTTCTACTTTTCCTTCTCAGAATTGCGTGGGCTTGGCTTTGTTATCTTTTGGTCTTTAATATAATGTTCTTCTGCAAAAACAATGCCCCCCTCTGTTTGCTTTTTTGTACCTGTTGTCTATAGAATTATTTCTTTATCCTTTGAATTTCGATAGCTTAAACCGGGAGACGTGTGTGCGTGTTTATGTGTTTGTTTTCCAAATTTTTCTTGAAACATTGTATGTTCTTTTTAATATGCAGATTTAATTCTTTAAGAAAAAATTTCCAGTATTATACCTTTTATATCTAATTTATTTGGTTTTGTTCTGCAGAGTCACCAGCTATCCTTATTTGGATAATTTTTGTCAATATTGCATATCTTTTAGCTTCTCTTTAATATATTCCATTTGTCTTTTTCATCTCTAATTATATCAATTTCCAATTTATTCATTTAATTATTTTTTATATTTACAATTTTGTTCCTTGCCAATTCTAATTTATTTGTTATTTTTCGATGATATATTTTGTTCTCTCTTTTGTTTTCTTAGGTCTGCAGTCTCATTTTACCTCTCATTCTGTTGTTTTGTCATGTAATCTCTCAGCTCTCATTTTATTGAATTCATTTTTAATTCAGTTGAAGTATAGTGTGAAACCTTTGTGGAAAGATTCTTTTTCTGTTCAGCTCAGTTGGAGTGTTCTTTAGTCAGTTTCTCAAATTTTGTATATTCCCTGTGCATCTCCTACTTGGATTCACACCATCTTTCTAGGACTTTTCTTGCTCATCCTCAGGGTATGGGGATGTGCAGGGAAGCTTGTTGGCATTGCTCAATTCATGGTGTAGTTGTGGAACCTTCACTTCTGACGGAGAGCACCTGCCACATGCTTCACTTCTCTCTTTTTACCAGTTTTGTCCTGGTTTGCTTCTCCCCAGATTTTGGGGGTATTAGTGAAATTAGTAGCATTTTTTTTGGTATGCCAGTCCTGAGTATGGACTCTGGGGATCTGGGAGAGGGTCACGAGCAGCCATGTGCTATTCTTGGCTCTGTTTGGGAAGGAATTTTTGGTTTCTTCACAAGGCTAATAGCTTTTGTAGTTTCACATGATGTTATGTTCTTTCCATGCTTAGTTGCTGTAGGACAAGGTTTAGGCAAACTACAGCCCACAGGCCACATTTTGTCTGCCACCTGTTTTGGTAAATAAAGTGTCATTGTAAATAAAGTGTTAAAATGAGACAGCCACACCTTCTCACTTACATATTGTTCATGATGACTCTCATGCTTCAGAGACGCAGTTGAGTAGTTGTGACAAAGACCATATGGCTGGCAAAGCCTAAAATAGTATCTGCCCTTAACAGGAAAAGTTTGCCAAACCCTTTGCTATAGGGTAATTTTAGTTTTCTTGCTGGTTTTTGACTACTTTTCTTTCAGTTTCTTAGGAGTTAAAGGAGAGAGACGTAGGGATTCTCCTTCTTTATATAGTCTTGACGTAGAAGTTGCTGTAATGCTGACTTAAAAAAATTCATGGAATAACATAACCACATTTTCTCTCTTATACCAAAATGCTTGAATTACAAAAAATGTTAGTTGGATTAGTTCAGTTTATTTGAGATAAGAATGATTTTATCCTAGCAGGTAACTTCTACCAGTAAATGAAATTATCTACATTATTCCTCTTTAATAATGTCTGGTCTTTTTTTTTTTTTTTTTATCTGAATAAGAGTAAAGCAGCTATTTAATTACAGTAGTTTTTCTGGAAGACAATTTAATTTTCTAACTTCCTTCTTTTGCACTTTTTCAAAGGTATAAGCGGTTTAACCAGACTTTGGACGACATTGGAAAGAACGAAGGTGGTATTGATAAGTTTTCCAGAGGTTATGAGTCATTTGGTGTCCACAGATGTGCTGACGGTGGCTTATACTGCAAAGAATGGGCCCCAGGAGCAGAAGGGGTTTTTCTTACTGGAGACTTCAGTAAGTATTTTGAAAGCATTAAAGTCAGTAGTAATATTTTATTTATCTATTTAAAACATAGACTTGTTTATTTCATGTGTTTAATTATATGAGGATTAGTGATTACAAATATCTGACTTTTCAGATAGAGCCATAGAATTTATTAAATCTTTACCTTTCATGTGGTACAGGTGTTTCTGCTATAATGTGATACATGTGTTCCTGAAAAACTTGATGTTCTGGGCCGGCCCTGTGGCTTAGCGGTTAAGTGCGCGTGCTCTGCTACTGGCGGCCTGGGGTTCAGATCCCGGGCGCGCACCGACGCACCGCCTCTCCGGCCATGCTAAGGCTGCGTCCCACATACAGCAACTAGAAGCATGTGCAACTATGACATACAACTATCTACTGGGGCTTTAGGGGAAAAATAAATAAATAAATAAAAACTTGATGTTCTGTAAAATCATGTACCAGAAATAACAGAGTTCATGAGAAAATAGTATTAGGCAGACTACTTCAGATTAATTCAACTTTGCTGTTGGTTTTGTCAGAGCTTGCTAACAATCTGGGTAAAAATGTTGGTGTAGGTTAAATCTTCACTAGCGTTTGCACCCAATTAGCTGACATTGTAGTTCTTAGATCTTCTGTAGCCTAATATCCTTTTTTGAGACCTCAATAAAAGTAGACATCTACTCTAGAGGGTCAACTTCATCGCTCAATTCTTTTTTTTCCTTTTCCTTTTTTATGGGAACACAATGGGAAATATCTTCTCTGCCTTGTTATCTCTATGGAAAGCATAGTGGCTAGAAGTCAGGCTTCTAGCTTACAGTCTAGTGGAAGGAAGACCTGTATGTAAATAACTCTAATGCAGTCTGCGCAGTTTTATTCTAGAAGTATAAATAAATTTCTGTAGTAGTGATAAGGAGGAAAGCTCAGTTTTGAAAGTGGAGTAACTGGAAAAAGAGGTCTTGGCAAGATGTTAATAATACAAGGAAAGGAAATATCAGAATGGTAATAATCCTTTAGTACTGCACAGTGGTGTAGTATTTAATATTTAATTTTACTTGACTCTACATGCTTACTATTCAATTTCTGTGACATTCTGGAAACAGCAAAACTATAGGAACAGGAGAAAGAGTTGTCAGGGTTTGGGGGTAGGAGGTGTGAGTTGATTTCAGAGGAGCATGAGGGAACTTTTGGGGGTGATGGAAATGTGCTATGTCCTGATTGTGGTGGTGGTTATATAACTGCACACATTTGTCAAAATTTTTAGAACTGTACACATAAAAGAGTGAATTTTACTGCATGTAAATTATACCTTAAGGAACTTGACTTTAAAAAAGTTTTGCTTTGGGACCGGCCCGGTGGCTTGACGGTTGGGTTTGTACGCTCCACAACTGGTGGCCCGGGTTCGGATCCCGGGCGCGCAC